TGGAAGTTGCTTTGAATGACTGTGGTACTGTTTCATTAATATATTAGTGAGTTGACCTATAAAGCAGTGGTTATCTGACCTCTCCCACAGTCGTAACCTTATGGATCACCATCAGCCCATCACGCTGCACCATGTGACACCTTTTGTCCACACTATGGCCCTCGAGCTGAGGAGAGAAGTATAGAAGCACATCAAAGGTGCAATATTTCCACTTAATGCATCTGCTGAGCTGAGTCAATGTAAAAAGAAACAGCCCGGAAAGGATTCAGCGACTCACCTTGACATATTCATGGTGATCTTCCTCCAGCACCTGCAGGTCAGTCGTTAGGTAGGCTTAAACAGAGTAAAGGGTATGAAGAGAAATACTAACAACAGGAAACAGCAAAGATCAGTTTGTCCTAGCATCCTCTGCCTGCTGTCACCTGTCACTGCTGTCCCACAGGGGCAGTCATCAATGGCTCCGTGGCTCTGAGCATGAAGCATCATGCATGGCTGCTCTCTCCGGGCAAACTCCACCGTCACACTGAACTCCCCCAGCTCTCTCCCCCCCTCTGATACAGTCACCAGCGAGTCTGCAAACACACACTTCTGCAGCTCGGCAGGCTCTGAGAAGCGAAGGGACACAGAAGGCAAAGCCAAAGTGGACAGATTCAAATATCTGTAATGATTTTACGGTTTTTTGCTTTTCAGGTAGTTTTGGACTCAGCTGTTTCCTACCGACCATATTAGCCTAAATTGGATGCGAACTCACCGATGCCGGACATGAACGTGACAGCTTCGTCAGAGGCTTCCAGCTCCTGTCGGTGTTCAGGTCCTTCAGTCCCCGCTGAAAAACCCACAGCAGTCTGTTCACCCAGCGTGGCTTCCATCTTTAAAACAGCCTGAAAAGTGTGTGGGAGCAACTTCACAGGACACTCGCCTGCCTCGACAGACAGTCTGTCTGGGTAATTTTATGCAAAGCAGTCTTATCCCACACTTTTCCTGCTTAGCATTTTTCTGCTACGGAAGGGAAGCTGACGACCAAATCTCTGTTGGCATGGCAACGACGCTGGAGTACCGTAAAGACCATTGTATGTGTGAATTGTAGGCTGACTATTCACCACCAAATCTAGAGGAAGGAATTATACAAAAATAGAGGCGCTGTACATAAGTTAATAAAAAACAAAACAAAGAACACTGATTACTATTCCTCCTAAAAACCAGCAATTAATTTTTGTGAATTAATTTACTTAAGTCTGAGATCTTTACATCAAGCAAACAATTATGCAATACAATATATAATAGTGAATTCAGATCATAATCCTGATTGCAAAAGCAGCTAGACATAACAATCTCAAAAACAGTCCTACTGTACTGTCAGGAGGACATCCTGGGCCACATTTGTGGGGGTCAGTCTAGCAGGCAACATGCTTACTTTTCAAAATGATGGCCATTTCACATGTTATAGCAAAAAGGGAGCTTAAGTGATTTTTTTTTTAAATTTGATCATTTTATTTTTTTTATTTAAAAGGGACAGTGCAGTTTAACATATTTCAAGTGCAAGACATGAAACTGATGTGCCGCACACAGGTTTATAGCTACTGCTAATTTTCAACAATTGTCCCTTGTTGGGCTTACAATCTAAATAGATACATTTGTAGATATTATGTTTCTGTTGCTAAAAGTCGATTTTTTTTTTTCATTCAATATTCTTGGGGATTCTTATTTTGAATTTAGTAGGACTTCAGAAATGTACAGTAAACCTATCCCACTTAACCTTAAACAAATGTTTGATTCAGTGTCCTTTGTAGTGGACAGCAAGACTCCCACATTTTCAATCTGTGTCCACACTTCAGGAAGCAGCGGGCTGAGTGATGTAGAGTTCTTTTAAATTCTGGATTTCACTCAGTCAGACTTGCATATAGGATGAGATGGAGGAGTGCAGGGAGGTGAGAGTCAGAGGGCACACCAGCTTCTGAGGAGCCTGAGAAGGAAGCCACTGTCACTTATGGACAAGCGTGTAACCAAAGGTGTTTTTTGTCTCTACCCGTTCTTTCTTTATGGATTCAATTTCAACCCTATTAACACTGGGTTGAAATTGAACTAACAATAAACATGAAAACAGGGCAACTCTGTCTATAACCACCATGACTGGAGGATCACTGATTACATCAGTGATCAGACAGCCAGGTTCTTGAAAGTGTCAAAGCACACAAACCAAAGGGAGATGCTCATCTCTGCAGGCAGCCCAAACATTTATAAGCTGCATATCATACGTTAATATCTATGACATGACTTGAATCTGGATATATTCAGTACTATTTATAGCAATTTCAATGCATATAGACGGATTGTTTAAGACTATTACTTTCCAGCACTGACAAGATGACTTCAATATGTGATCAGACGATAGAAGGCCAGTGCAGATGTTTCCTACAGCACTTACGCAATACCTATTAACCATAATAGGCTTCAGCTGTGGTCTCTTTGCTCCAGCATAGGCTACTCAAACACTGGGATGTCCTTCTCTGAACTTCACCTTCCTTTTTTAAATCAAGTATTTCCCTTCATCTAACAGTTCAGAGATCCACATGAAAAAAACAAAACAAAATGAGGGACAGAAGAAAATAAACAACATTTTTGAAAAAAGGTTTTGCTGGAACATTTTTCTTTCAACCACATATGGTAGCCATGGTAACTTTCAGGATTTGTGGAGGGAGAAATCAAGTCAAACTGTTCTGAAGCAAACTGATGTATTCTGAGAGAATTAAAAGACATAACAAGTTAAATGTAA